ACCCAGAGGCTGCAACCATTATCCCCCAAAATGGGGTCAGAAGCTGTTGGGAGGGTAGAGTTGCCAGAGGCAAGCAGGTCTGAGTTTGGGGCCAGCCTGGTCTACATAGAAAGTTCTAGGTCAGTCAGAGGTTCACAGTGAGACCCCGTCTCAAAGTAAAATGGAGCCTCCCAGGGCAGGGCACAGCCTGGCAAATACCACGTGTTTTAGACTATACGGAGCAACTCAACAGGGCCCAGTGAGATTTCTGGGTTCTTGTGTCCCAGAATAAAAAATCAGAACAGGGACCTACCAATAGTAATGGTAATAGACATCGTTAGTTAAGAAAGAATGTGCCCAGCTGTGGAAGTGGGTAAAATATCTGGGAAGGGTACTGTAGTGTCCTGTCAGAATTTTCAGGAGAACTGTGGTCCCAGACATTTTTCTAAAGAGCTGAAAGATGATCAGTCTTCTGTAAATTCTATGCTAATAAGGGGAGTAGACTCTGCCTAAGAAGGAATGTACCCCCTCCCCCCAGGGATGGGATTAAAGACGTGCTCTACTACCACCTGACTTTGGATTTTAATGAACTATTTTATTTTCTAGTGATGAATGTAAGTTTTTTAATTTTTATTTTTAATTATGTGTATGTGTGTATGTGCATGTAAGTGAAAGAGAAGAAGTTTTGGCTCCCTTGTAATAGGAGTTAGGATCCTTATATCATAAGGACTTTAGTTTGAAACTGTTATAGCCAAAAGGTAGGAATTTTACAAGACTAAAAATGATGTTTAATAAGAGTAACGTGATAATACTCCCAATGGTGCCAGAAAGGGCCAGAGCCAGAAAATTGTTCTGAGCAGTTTGTCGTCCAAAGCTAATCTTTGGGTGATGTTTGTCAGCTCAGTGTATTATTATTATTGTCCACGTGGAATTGTTGTTGTGGGGCCCCATCATCTTTCTGGAGACTTCAAATTCGCTGTTAGGACTGGTCATGATTCCCTGCAGAAAATTGATAGAGACTCCAACACAAAAACATGTATAGGCATATCTAAATGAAGCCTTTTCCTAGAACTAGTTAGTACTCTATATGACCATTAATATCATAACAAAAGTTTAAAATATATGTTAATCTTATAAATTTTGATATAAAATTCATACCTTAAGAAAAGTTTAAAGAACCAAAATAGAACCAAAGAATTGAGATTAGTGGCAATAAAATA